TTAGTTTGAAGCCTGCTACCCATTCATTTCATTTGGTGTCCTCTAGTCCTTCTATTATGGGAACTAATGAAGAACTTTTCTTTATGCACCCTCTCCACACCACTCGTGCTTTTATAGACCTCTATCATATCCCCCCTCAGTCTCCTCTTTTCTAAGCTGAAAAGTCCCGGTCTCTTTAGCCTCTCTTCATATGGGACCTGTTCCAAACCCCTGATCATTTTAGTTGCCCTTTTCTGAACCCTTTCCAAGGCCAAAATATCTTTTTTGAGGTGAGGAGATCACATCTGTACAGTACTGAAGATATGGCGTACCATAGTTTTATACTTCCCCTCTTCCTTCTTCCCCTGGCTTCCCCCTTCCAGCTCCCTCCTACCAGGTTTCCCTCTCCCCTCTCTCACTCCTTCTCTTCCCCTCTCCTACCTCCTTTTCCCAGTCTCCCCAGAGATTAATTCCCCCCCACCCCAGTTTTGTTCAAAAAACCCAGTTTTTATTTTTGAACATACGTGTCTTTTATTTGACATCAGGAAGGGGGGCTAGGGAGGGGTAAGTGGAAGGATGTGAGGGAGGAATGGGGCACGAGCCGCAGTGGGGAGGACTGGGGTGGCTCTGAGGGCTCCTCGGGGTGGATGCTCTCCCACAGGGCATCCCGGATCCTGACAGCCCTCCGATGATCCCCCCGGATGGCAGCCTGCAGCAAGTGCAGCCGGGCTGATGGCAACAACCCCACGAGACGCACTGGCATGCCCAGGGGCAGCTCTAGCTCAATGTGGCCAAGTGCTGTCTTGTCCTGTGTGCGGGCACTCAGGGCACTCCAAGACAGGACTGCTTTGCTGTCCCTCATCGAGGTAGACAAGCAAGTAGGGAACCCTGAAAACTGTCTGTCTGGGATGGGGGTAGAGTTCCTTTAAGCACGGAGCTCAGTTAGCCTCAGGCAGCAGCCCCACACAGTAAGTCCTAACCTGATGTCCTGCCGGCACTGGTTCCGGCAAGCCTTAACTTTGGTTCAGGGTCCAATCAGTGTGGATATGCTATTTCGAAATAGCAAAATGCTATTTCAAAATAGGTTTTGTGTGTAGATGTGTTAATTCAAATTAGCTTAATTCAAATTAACTATTTAGAATTAAGTTAACTTGAATTAACGCTGTAGTGTAGACATACCAGTGAGTTATAAGTAACTGATTGTACTTGCTTCTTACTTTTCACTGAATACAATAAAGAGTTGTGTTTGTGTCTACTACCCTTTGCTAGAGAGACTCATCAGTGCTCAGCTGTGTGTCATAAGCCCTACACTTCTAGGTAAAAGCTAATGGTGACCTTGCACAATTCAAGTGGTAAAGGACTAGAAGGCTCTGGGTTCTAGTCTTCCTGCAACTGTGAAGTTTAGAATAGCTGTAGTAACAATGTCCTAGCTGGCCATAGATGCGTGACAGCACCCCCAGGATGCTGCCGTGGGGATAAAGATGTTTTTTGTAGATATCAGAAGGTGGAATTTCACAACATAATAATCTTTCATGCAGATGAGAAGCAAAGAGCCTGATCTGACAGGGTCCATTATCTGGCACATAGGCAGACAAAGTGGAGATTGCTGGACACGTGCTTTCAGTAAAGCACTAACCCCCTTCTTTCTCCAATTACAGAGACCTTTCACTTTACCTCAAAGCGGCACCATGGTTTCCCCTTCAGTCTCACCTTTTTCCTCAATGGACTACAGGTGGACAGGCTGAGCTCCTGCTGCGAGTACAAGCATCGGAAAGGCATGCGATTGGGAGGCAAACATGGATACTTTGGCTTCGCAAATGTAGACAAAGCCTCTCCTTGCTATAGGTATGCTCACAAGTGTTTCACCTGCAAAACTATTCCCACCTTTCCCCACCATCAAACCTTTTGCCCATTGATCTCTCTGGAGTCCAGGTCACAATGAATGGGGTTCTGTTGCCTATCTTGAAACCAGTTATATCATCTGCATATTGGATCTACTTGTGCATAGGCTTTGGATAGGCAATCTCCCATTGAAAGCAGGTGATTTTTTTACATTATTCTATTGTGATATTGCACGGGGTACCCAGGACCCAGTCCAAGGTTCCTTCTAAGCTGTGCAGCTGCTTACTGAGTCCTGCCCAGACAGGGGCTCTGGACTCATGCATGGAGCTGCCTGGCTGGGGGCAGGCACTTCTCTCTCAGCTACAGAAGCAGCTACCTGCTGAGGACAGAGCAGCGAGTCTTTCCCAGCCTCTAGGGAGGGGATGTTTCCCTGTGGCTGGGAGAGACTTGCTGTTTTGTCCTCAGCAGGGAGCTGCTGGCTGTAGCGGAGGGAGAAGTACCCCTCCCCTAGCCAGGCAACTCCATAGGTGGAAGCCCTGAGCCCTTAGTCAGTGCTCATAAAGCAGCTGTTGGGCTGTAATGCTGCTTAGAGTGAACCTTGACTGAGTCATCTTATTCCCCCCTCCTTCTCCTCTACTGGGCCCAAGTGTGAAGGAGACTTGCTGGTGCTTAACTGGAAATCTGTTCTTTGACAGCATAAGTGTGTAAAACACCTGAGCCTCCTCCTCTGGGCTACTCCAGCCCTCGCTTTGTCACGCATGTTAACAGTTAGTATACCTCAGTCCCTGAGCTCCTTTGCAGCATTTCCCTGTAGAATCCAGCCCCCTTGCCACTGATCACTCAAAGAAATACCAGGGTTGGTTGTGTCCAAGGAAACAATGTATGTACCAGCTTGTCAGATTAAGCTCAGGATGAGCTCCTTGCTACATTCCATAGCACTGATGGAGAAATCAACAAGAAGTTTATTGTTAAAGTTTCAAGAGATATTGAGTAAGGATAATGGAAACAAGGGTTACTTATAAAGTAAAACTATCACACACTTCCTAGGGTTTTCACTTAACTAGTACATTAACCTCCTGTTTAATGAAGTTAATCTCACTCAAAGCCTTTTGCAGAAAGTTTAACTCAAGCTGGTTAGACTCCTGTTTTCAAGAAACACAATGTCTGTTTACTTCCAGGTACAGGATGACCGAGGATCTCTTTTGTTTCCCAAATCTAGTTCAGCAAACCTTTGAAGTGTATATCAGGATAAGGTTATTTTCCTCTACTGTATGTTCTCCCTGGATGATTTCACATCTCTCTGTTGAATTTGCATGTAAATAACTCCCATGTGTTAGCTTATTGTGCTTAATTTTTCTGCTGACAGAGAGACAACAGAGAGACAGGTGAATAAACATCTTTTAAGTGCCAGGAAGCCTGTTTCTCCACTTCTCCTGTAATACAGAATCTAAAACATATTTTTAGCATTCTCACATAGCTCCTTACAAAGTAACTGTCCACACATTTCACAATGATATAAACAACATTTCATTTCAGATCTCTCATGGCATTCTTTTTGAACCAGAAAGGACATACCAGAATCAAGATATTCTTATAACTCCATTGAAAGTTGATACTGAGGAGTTTTTGGATCACAACCATATTTTCTGTTTTTAATAATGCCAGAGAATTTTAAACTGAAGATGTATAACTACATCAGAGCATTTGTCCAAAGGCTGAGGCAATATCTGTCAGTGTGAGAAGAGGGAAACGGGCCTTTTGTCAACCAAAGAGGCATAGAAAGCAGTTTGGCATTATTGGATAAGTGTGTCCTCTGGATGTGAATGCTAAATATCAACAGTGAAATTAATAACAATGGTGCCATTTAAACGATCTGTAAATTTCAGAGTTAACAGCACATTCATCTCTGAAGGCCATTCCCATCTCTCAGACCTATCATTGACTCAGGTAGACATCAATACATCATGTTACACTCAGTTTGTGTTCTTAAGGTTTTCTAGGCCATCATGCAAGCTGGATGCATGATTAAAACAATAAGAACAAAATCATAGATGCTGAAGAACAATTCTGCCTCAGCATCTAAAGTCCACAGTAATTTCTCTGGCTGCTGAGTAGGCAAATAAGGACATTGCCCAGGATACAGAAAACAAATACGAGCACAGCAAAGCATTCCTTATGGCCAAAGACAATGCCATGAACAACAGCTGGAGCATATGCCAAGAAGCTTCAGTTTTAATAAAAATAAAAAAAATCTGTCTACTGGATTTTCAAAGCAGGGTCACACAGTAGAACTGCTGCTGCCATATATAATTTTTAATCTTTTTATTCTTTTCATAAACATATTTTAAAAACAACAATGAACAGTTGGATGAAGAGGGGAGGAGAGATAGGGAACCTCCATAGAGCCAAACTAATTTTTAGATAAGCACTAAATTCTGAGGAAAAATTCAAGCTAAAGTTTACATGATTTATGTAAATGGTATGTTAGAGTTGCTATGATAAGGATTCTCTGAGGAGTGAAAAGCAGCTGAGTTAGGATGGAGGTACTGACTCAGTAAATATCTAAACTAGCTCAAATTTCAGTCTTTCTGTGTGTGCCTGTGTGTGTGTGAAGAAAATGGATTACCTTTATCTGAAGTGACATGTGTCTGGGGAAATAGTTCAGATTATTTCAGATTATTGGAAAAAAACCAATGACTAATTAAACTTTTCTCTCTCAACTAGCCCACCCAATTGTAGTTACTGACCTAAAGAGCCCCTTTTGCAAGGCTCTTGTCCCAGCTGAGAGAGCTGTATTTACATACCTCCAACAAGTCACATCCATAAAGTCATGCTTTGCCCCTGCATGTTTGAAGGTGAAAGTTATGAGCATAAATAATTTGGAACATGATTTTGCATCCACAGATTCAGGGCTTGCTCCCATGCTCAGAGAAGGTTCCCATTGATTTTCATGGGTATTGAGTCAAGCCCCGACTTAGCCCCTGATTACACAATCGGTTCTGCCTGGATGCTGGGGTTAAGTTATGCAGAGCTTATTGTAGGCTTGAAGCCCTAACTAGTTGTGCACCTGCACTTAGGAACTCCAATATCTGAATGTCCTTTAGGAAATTATGGGCACTAATAACTGAGGGGACAAAACTCCTAACATAATTATTCACATTTGATGCTGACAAAATTAACAGTCCTAGAAGTGTCTAGGATACATCTCAGTAGTTTAGAAGCAGTTGTGCAAAGGGTTAGCATGGGGGTTGCTGTATTAAAGCTTTATATAAGAAGAGCAGTTGAAAAGGGAGTAAAGGGCAGTCTCTTGGGTCATTGTTTTCTAGGAAGGAATGAAAGATATGGGAAGGGGCTCATGGGATAGGGCGAACTGCTGAGAGTAAGGGAGAGGGAACAGACCTAAAACAGTTGTCTTGAGGAAAGAAAAAGGAATAAGCAGAGTGGGGTTTTCAGTATTCCGGAGCCTAGGCACTGAGGCTTTGGGTAATGTCTACACTATATATGGATGCTACAGTGGCATGGATACAGCACTGTGCCATTATGACACTGCAGTGGAGACACTTGCTACAGGGATTGAAGTTAATCTACCCACTGAGATATGGTAGCTAAGTTGCCTGAAGAATTACAGGTAGTGTCTATACTGGGCTTAGGTCAGTTTAACTATGTCTCTAAGGAGTGTGAATTTTTTGAGTGATGTAGCTAGTTTGATTTAAGTTTTATTATATCTTGATCAGACCACAGAATGTCCCCATGATCCATGGTATGTTATACAGACTTTCCTGGACAGTACCAGAGTTCTGAAAGCAACCACCATCTGTTATGAACTGAGAAATCTTTCATGAGCAGGAGAGGCAGATGAGGAAGCAGAGGTGGTTAATGAAGATTAAAGCAGCATTAAGAATTTATTTTTTTAAAGAACTAGCAGGAAGGAGAAGAAGAGGAATTGGCTTGGTCTGCACTTAACAGGTGCATTGGCAAAGCTACAATGGTCAGAAGTGTTAAGGAGGGAAGCAAGTCAGGAGTGTCTATCTAGGGATGTAATAATGTAGTTGATTAACTGATAAGCAAAAGCTTATAGGTTAATGATATAGACTACACACATTTCCCTCCCCTCCAAGTAATTTTTTTAGCAGGCTGGCCAGCAACCTGGCTCAGTCCTGGCTTGCAACGGGTCCGAGACCTACCCCTGCTGCGGCTCTGCATTTAAAGTGCATTAGGAGCTAGGCTGGCAGGTAGCCCGGCTCAGTTCCGGCTTGCACTGGGTCCAGGAACACAGAGCCCCCCCCTCCCAGACAGGGGCTGCTGCCACCCTGCGCTGCTGCCTCTGTATCTGTATTAGAGGCAGCAGCATGGCATGACAGGCAACCAGTCCATGAGGGGAGTTAGTTTTTAAACTGGCTCCCCTCACAGACCAGCTCCCACCTAGCACCCCACGCTGCTGCTTCTGATACAGAAGCAGCAGCAAGGAGTGTCAGGGTGCTCCTTGGAAGTGGGTCTGGAGCATACTGGCTGCTGGCCCCACCCCCAGATACTAGAGAGTAGTTGACTAACCAATAAGAATTCATGAGGTTACTCGATTATTCAGTTAACCGATGTTTAACATCCCTAGTTCTGAAAAAACAACAAATAGTCTGATAGCACTTTATAGACTAACAAAACATGTAGCTGGTATCATGAACTTTTGTGGGCACAGCCCACTTCTTCAGATGACCGGTCATCGCTGTGCCCACGAAAGCTCATGATACTAGCTACATGTTTTGTTAGCCTATAAAGTGTTACCAGACTATTTGTTGTTTTTTCAGTTTACCTGTACAGACTAACTTGGCTTCTCCCTGAAGATCTCTAGTTCTGTCTCTCAGGCTATCTACACAATTTGCACATATTTTTCTGACATAACTCTGCAATCTTGACATAGCTTCAGAGACATGGTCCTGGATCTCAGCTCAGCCCATTGCTAGCAAGCCAAAGTGCAGTTACAAATATGCAATTCGGGGCTTGTTTGCCAGCAAATAGCTGCACAGCAAACCAGGGCACGAATCTATAGCACATTAGCACTCCTACTGCACTAAGTTACTCTTCAGGACTTTCACTGAACTGCAGCAGCATCCACACAGGATGTTGGCAAGCTGATACACTGTAGATTTACTGCACATATATTTGCATGAACTATTCTTTTTCACTAGCTGCACAGCTTCTAGTCACCCAGTATGTATGAGGATGATGTGTAAATTTAGATGGACTATATGGGCCAACAATGTTACCCTAACCCAGTTGTACAACATTAAACAGTAGGACTATATGGGCCAACAATGTTACCCTAACCCAGTTGTTGTACAACATTAAACAGTCTGAATCAAGGTGCAGGGTTTGGATTCAGGGACCTTAGCCTGCTTAGTACACACCATTAAAATCCTTTAAAACATTTAATTAGGGATACAGAAAGGAAGAAAGCACTTACAGAATTTGAAATGTAAAGTACAATATAAGGCTTTAATTTTAACAACCTCTCTTGTCCCCTTTCCCTTTAGCAGGGGAAAAAGGGGGGAGGGGAAATTTTATTTTTAACTTACAAGGCGTGTAGCAGGTTATTTCATACATTTCCATTGTTTGCTGAAGGAAAACTGTGTAGTTTTCAAGTCTTGCATGTTCTTTTTGTTAGGTGTATTATTGCAATGGGCCTAGACAAAAAGCCCTCTCCTCCAAAGAAAAAGATGAAAGCAGACTATGGAGAAAAGCAGGAGGATTCTGTGAAGGATGAAGAGCACAGTGAGCCAAGTGAGGGCAGTGTCGAGCAGGAAGCGACCAAACATTCAACAGCAGACATTTCATCTCCTGGAAAGGATCAGGAGCCTGCAGAGGACAATGTGGAAATTGGAGAAGAGGAAAGAAAAGAAGAAACACAAGAAGGGCCAGAGTCTGAAGATGACCAGGAAAATGCTAGTAAAGATGGTACAGTATCAAAAAGCTCCATTAAGGAACACAAATGGGAAGACAGAGCTGTCTAATGGAAATGGCACAGTATTGATAGTCAGGAGTCCTGGGCTCTGTTCTCAACTCAGCCATTGACCACAAGCATGGCCCTTTGCCTCTTTTCCATTTCCCAGCCTATATGTTGCCTATTTAGACTGGATGCTCTTTAGGATAAGGACTGTCTCTTGCTGTATATTTGTGCTTAGCACCACAGGATCCCCTGAATGTGATGGTGGGTTACAAGTAGGAATAAGAGATCCTCCGGAAAAGGGCTTATTTTCCGGAGAATCACGTCTAGACTGGCGCTTTTCTCCGGCTTATCCCCAAGCCGGAAAAAAGCGGGAGCCATGTAAATGCAAATGCCGCAGGGGATATTTAAATCCCCCGCGGATTTGCAATTGCGATGTGTCTCATTAGCATCCCTTTTCCGGAAAGGGATGCCAATGTAGACACAGCCTGTATGTATGTGAGAGACAGAGAGAGCACACTGTATCAGAGCTATCAGAGACAGCAGTTAAGGTTGCAGGAAGCAGCAGATGTACAGGAGCTTAGTGGATGGGGAGAGGTGTTGTCAGAGGAGTTGTCAGAGGTGAGGAAGTAGCAGAGGGACATAGAAGACAGTGGAGATGCAATAAAAGGAGGGGAACAGAAGCAGGTGATGGGACAGGAAGAGGGAGTGTGCTGGGTGGTATAAGGAACAGAAGTAGCAGCCAGGATGTGTGAGGTGTTGGAAGATAGGAGCAGAATGGGGGTGGTGGTCAGGAGCTGGGGCTTGAGGTGTATTCATAGAAAAGGGTGGCAGGAGTGGAGGCTTTAGAGTTCTTAGAAGATGGGAAGGAATGGATGGGCTATAGAAGGTTGGGGAGTGGGCAGGAGTGGAGGGGTTGGTGTGTGTGGAAAAGGAGAGGGAGGAAAGAGCCAGGCTGTGAGGGTATGCATAGGACTAGAGGAGGAGGCAGAAGCTAAGGTGGGGAATATGCTGAGTATAGGATGAGAGGATCAAGAATGTGGGTGAGGAAGACAAGCACAGAGGTTAATGTCAATGGGCAAGTCAATGGGAGTTGGGTGCCCAACTCATTAAAGTGATTTTTAATAATCCCATTGGGTGCATATTTACAATGTCAGGTGCCTAATTCATTTTTGCATCAAGCCTGAGCTGTCTCTCAATTAGTGGGCATGTTAACCCCTCTGTGCTGTAGTGCCTCCCCTGTATTGAGAGGATAGTATCACTCCTCCTTTTGCAAGGGTGCTGTCAAGTTCAAATCCTTAATGTCTGTGAAGTATTCAGATACAATGGTGAGAACATCACAGAAATGTCCAGGAGGAAATGGATAATTCAGAGTAGGATTTAACTAAAGGACGTATTATAATGGCGTAAGGAGGTGAATTAAGGTTGCCTGGGTAATGTTAATTCTGTTCCTTCTGAACTTTTGAGTGCTTGATTTTGCAAACTTAATCTTTTAATGTAGTTGTTTTTAAGTGTAATACTAATAATAATGAGCAAGGAATGCTCATAGAAGTAAGGCTTTGTAGACTAGTGTCTATATGCAATAGATTATGTTTTTTAGTTGTACAGTTCGTTCATTCTTTGCATTTGTGATCAGTATCTGACTTTCAGGGTCATTCTTGTATTGCTTAGATTTCCTTCACTACAATCAAATCTAACACAGAAGATTTCTTGAAGACAGTATATCCTCATTCACTCAATCCTTGCAGTATACTTGCACTATAGCACTAAAAGTGCCTATTTTTAAGATGGCAATTTTTTTGTACCATATGACCACCAATGCCTTTTCCATTTATTTATTTGGCACATGCATATGTATCTACCTGACTACGAAAATTGTTAGCATCTTCTGTTTCTTCATTTACTTATTTAAAAGATACCTTTTAAATAATATATCATATTATTTCTCTATAAATATTTTCTACTTTCCCACTTTCTACTGCTGTCCTCACTTACATGAGTTTTCTGTACCCTCAGAAAACTTTCTTATTTGGCACTACATATATGTTTTGGTGATTAGTTTTGCGTTTATCCCTGCTGCGGGTGGACACCTCTCTGACAATTACTGAGAAGGCTTGCCACCTCTGAGGCAACTGGAATCTCAATTGATTTGAATGTAGAAAATAAAACTACTTATTTTCTTAATTCTCATTGTAGAATAATTGTTTATTTGCCTAATTGGTTCCACATCAGATACTCTTCCCTTCTGTCTTTGGCATTTTGTCACTTCAACAAGAAAAAGAGGTGAACAATTAAATTTGAAAGGTGAGAAATTTTTGCCACGAGGGACAGCTGGAGCATGTCTGATGTGACAATTCTCTTTCATGATACAGTTTTGTTGCCTTTCTGCAGTCTGTGTAGCAAATTAATGGTTGCAATGTAAATATTGTATTGTGAAAGGGATTTCTGTATTTTCTGGTTTGTGGAAATAAAATTAGACTATTTTTGGGTGGCATGAAGAACATTTTCTAATACACACATGATTTCAATTTTGAATTACATACAAAGCCCTTATGTTATCAGATTCTCAGTAAGAGGCTTGGGTTGAAATCTTGTCCCCACTGAAGTCAAAATGGGAGTTTTGTCATTACTGTCTATGGAGCTAGGAATTCACCCTGTAACCAAATGAATATATTAGAAGATCCATGCAATAATCAGAGCATTGCTCTGCAGCGTCCTTTGACTGAGTCTGAATAATTAATTTATTTTGTAGGACATCTCTCTGTTAATTAGTCTTGTCAGTCCACCTTTATCCTACTTTCCACACAGAGCATATTATCCTTCTGGTGCTTTAACCATTTCTTAAATTAATATTCCTTTTAGCTTGTTTTTTCTGTGATGAGGATTTCTTCTCTTCATGTATTGGTCTATCTGACTTATCTTTGTTGATTTTATTTTTTACACCTGAATGACACCTGCTAGATCATTGTATAGTTTTGCTCCATTTCTGTTACTCTAGATATAAAGAAAATGATTTTTTTTTTTAGGTAATGTACTTTTACAATCCCTCCTGCGGCCTCATATATTCACTCATTGTAAAAAGAAGTGAGGAAATGCAAAGGAAAAAGAGGGTTAATGGAGTTAACCTCTCTCTGGTTAATAAGAACTTTAAGTAGTTATGAATTCCATTTTCTGTCTCATGCTAGAGGTCTTCTTTTATTTCAGAGTATGATGAAGATTTTGAAGCAGATGAAGAGAAATCAGATGAGAAAGTTAATGAAGAAAGACAGGCTGATGATCAAATGAATGGAATGTCAAAGTCACCCTCAGATGATGAAAAAGATAATTTAGACCATGAAAAGGAGAGTAAAAGCTCATCACAGAAGACACCTCAGGCCTCTGACAGCGAGAAAGATGAAAGTGATGGATACTCAAACAGTGACTCGGAAGAAGATAAACAAGGTTAGTAGTTTTTTCTTATCATGGCATAGGGTACTTGACCTGATTTGTGTTTTATATTTTATGCTTGCCTTATCCCATGCATCTAACCTGAATTATTGTTGAGCTACACATTCCATTGTGTCATTAAAGTGACACATTAGGGCTTCATCCATCACAACATATCCATGCCTGCAGAGCTGTTACCTAACTACAGATAACCAAGCTCTGCAACAACTCGCTGTGGAGCCAACCACATGTGAAGAACATAGGCCACCTCGGCTATGTCTAGACTGCAGGCTTCTTTCGAAAGAGGTTCTTTCGAAAGCATCTTTCGAAAGAGCAATCCGCTTTTTCGAAAGAGAGCACCCAGCGAGTCTGGATGCTCTCTTTCGAGGAAGCCCTATTTACATTGAAGCACGCCTTCTTTTGAAAGAGGAACTTTCGAAAGAAGGCGTTCTTCCGCGTGAAACGAGGTTTCCCGCCATCGAAAGAAAAGCCGCGTTCTTTTGAAATAATTTCGAAAGAACGCGGCTTGAGTCTGGACGCAGGGGAAGGTTTTTCGGGAAAAGTAGCCTTTTCCCGAAAAACCCCCTGAGTCTGGACACAGCCCTCTTGTCCATCTAGCTGCACTATTCCCGATTCTCAAAACCCTTTGTCCCTGTCCACTGCATTCATTCAGTTAATCCAGCTCTGCTCTGCAGCAACATTACTGTACAGCCATGAACAAGGAGAAAGAAAGAAGGGCCTATTTTTAGCCATGTCATAGCACTTCCATATGAGAACATCATATATTAATTATACCTAGCAATATTCCCTCTGATGTATATAGCGGATAAGGGACATAGAAGAATCACTTCACACCCAGTGTGGAAATACAGCCAATTCTGGAGCGCAATGCAACAGCTATTTAACAGCTCATAGAAATGCTGCAGATTAGCTCGGCAACAGAAATGAAGATGTAGCTGCTTGGGGAATTTAGGGAGGAATGTAGCCAAACTAAATACATTGGGGGGCAAATCTTCAGCTTGTGTAAATTTTCACAGCTCCATTGATTTCAGCGGGGCCATGACAATTTACATCAATTCAATGTCTGTTCTTTTAGTCATAATTTGGCCAGCATAATTTGACCTCGGTTAACATTCCCTCTCTTATGAAATGTGTAACTTCAAACACATCAGACGTTTTCCATCTGATAGTCCTTATATGGGAGCTATTTGCTCGAGTTAAATGTAAATATTACTTTCACATTTGTATTTCTATGTGAAATAGGCAAAGGTAAAATGGCTCTTGGGGAAAAAAATGCACCATTCCATAGAAAATCTAGAAGTCTTCAGAAACTGAAACCAGGTTTGAAACATGTTTGCATATCAGATCACCACAATGATCAGAAAGAATCTTGATTTTTCATTTTCCAAATGATTATCAGGAATAATTTTATCTGCAGATTCCTGGGCAATCAGTAAACTTTTAAAAATTGTTTTCTGCTTATTAGTGTCTTGCATATAATCAGCTTTCTTGTGACCAAATTAGTTGCTGCTTAGTTCTCCTTGATCATTTTTATTAAGCTCAGAAGAGTGTGTGTGTGTGTATGTGTGAGAGTGTTTGTATGTGTGTCTCTGTGTGAAAATAGATAACATAACAATGAGGGTCCTTGGTTCTTCCTAAATTAATATACTTCTTATTTGACTACAGAAATACTGCAACACTGATAACATATGTAGGTAAGGTCTAGTGAGGTGCTTCCATTAATTCTCTTTTATTCAATCATTTGAAATACAGTAGAGCCTCAAAGATACAAACACCAGAGCAATCGGACACCATGTGAAACCAGAAACAGCATCAGAGGAAAAAAAATCCCAGCAAATACTATATAGTGCCTACATTGTATCTTAAAGATAGGCTCCTTTGGCTGCCTGTCCCAGCCTCACACCTACTGCCATCTCCATCACAGAGACAGCCACTTACAGCAATACACTGGGTTTGGCAGCCCAAAGAAGTGGGAGCTAGCAGAGTACTAGAATCTGCACTATGTCCCCCGCTCCTCTTATTGCATTCTTTTGTCCCCAGTATGCTGTTTTCATGCCCACCCCTGCCAGGAGGGAGATACTGAGTAGAGATCTCAGCCACTGCTGAAGCCTGGCCTGGAGTGTCAGCTACTACCTGTACTTTGTTCAGAGTTACAAACATACTGCAAAAAAACCAACAAATGATCTGGTAGCACTTTATAGACTAACAAAACATGTAGATGGTATCATGAGCTTTTGTGGTCACAGCCCACTTCTTCAGATGACCGGAGTTATGAGTTGGGGATATAAAAACTCGAAATAAATAGGAGAGGGGAAGAAGAGGGGGGAGAGAAAGGAAAAAGGAGGGGTGAGAGACAGAGCATCATTAAGTATCTGGAGAATGGGTACTTAAACCTAAGCAGATAAAAATCAAAGTCAATAGATAGATTCCTAAGACAGGAAGGATATCACTCAGAGAGCTGATAGCAACTTCAGTGGTTATTAAGTAGGTAGAGTCCCCACCAGCCCATATCACTACTGAGTCCATTAGCATGTGAATAGAAAATGAGGAGTACAGGATCTTTGAAATAGGGCTTTTCTGTCAAAAATGCCCCTTCTAAACTGCCAGGTTTTTTTTTCAAAAAGCCCCATTTTGAAAAAAGCGGCGGCCGCCATTATGAAAATGAAGTGCAGGATATTTAAATCCCGGCTTCATTTGCACTTTCGATAGGTCTAATTTACATCCCTCTGCTGACAGAGAGGTGTAGTTTAGATGTAGCCTAAGAGTGTGTCTACACTGTAGGGCTTACCTCGAAATATGCTACACAAATTGAGCTACATCAATTACGTAGCTTATTTCGAAATAGCTTATTTCAAAATAGGGAGTGTCTACACAGCACCTATTTCAAAATAGAGCACTCTTGCTCCAACTTCCCTTACTCCTCATATAATGAGGGTTACAGGAGTCGGCGTAAGGAGTACTCCAGCTTGACATTTTTTTTTACACTATTTCAAAAAACTGCCTGCTGTGTATACGCGGGCTAAGTTATTTCAGAATAGTGCTAGTTATTTCAAAATAGTGTTGCAGTGTAGATGTACCCCAAGAGTCCTGCAGTTTTTTATTGAGCAGCAGTCAGTAGAGGGCCATTGCACTGTACAGGCAGTCACCGGGTTACGTGGATCCGACTTATGTCGGATCCCTACTTAAGAATGGGGTGAGGGAACCCCACACTAGCTGTACCCCCCCCCAGCAGACCGCCGAGACACGCCACGGCGGTCCCGCCGCCCGCGTCCTCTGCGGCGAGAAAAGCTGCTCCGCGTCTCCCTTCTGCAGCTCCCATTGGCTGGGTTCTGGTCAATGGAAGCTGCAAGACTGTGCTGAGGGTGAGGGCAGCATGCAGAGACAACCTCGCCGCAGCATGCAACATGCAGAGAACACATGGCCCCAGCAACTGGCTGCTTTGAGCAGTGTATGGGGCGCAGAAGTCAGAGAGTCTGCCTGGGGCTCTCACTGGGCTGTGAGCCAGATCCAGTGGTTTGGCAGGCCAAATGCAGCCTGCAGGCCATACTTTGCCCACTCCTTGTTTAGGCTGTATCTATTTTGTCCATAAGGAACAGGGAAGATGGTAACATCCTCTGCCCGGAGGAGCCCTGCTTTCCCCACTTGACTGGAGGAGCCCCCAGCCAGCTTCAGCCATGCCTCCCCTCAGGGGCAGATGACCGTTTTGCGGGGCCCCGGGCAGCATAATTTTGCGGGGCCCCCCTTTGCCACGGCGCATGCGCAGTGACGCCATGCGCATGCGGGGTGGCGCCATGGCACATGCGCGGGGCTTTTTGAAGCGTGGGGCCCGGGGCGGCCGCCCCGTTCGCCCTGCCCTATATCCGCCCCTGGAGGCTGATTCCAGGAAGCCCGGGGCAAAGCAGCTCTGTCTCGGGCTTCCTGTAGTCAGCTGCTGGTCAGTTTCAGCAGCAGCTGAATCGGGGACACCTGGGGTACCCGACTTATGTACAAATTCAACTTAAGAACAAACCTACAGTCCCTATCTTGTACGTAACCCGGGGACTGCCTGTAGTTGGTGATGAGCTAGAAATGGATCCAAATTGGAACAATGAATCCGCAAACTCTTGGATTTGCAGTGGGTCTGGTTTTAAATCCCTTGATCTAAAGCCAAAACCGTCTTCGGATTCAGGTTGCAATGCACCCAAAGTCTCTGGAGAATGACTGGTATCCTTACAGAGATTTCTACCATTCAAGATGAGAGAAATTTCCAGAAATGAGTTTGTCTTATGAGATTTTCCTCATTCTGGGACAGAATCTCATAAAAATAGCTTTCACCACTATTGAGCCCAAACTCAGTGTGCTTTCAAATATTTCTTATGACTTAGAACTAAAAGTCTGCCCCAGGAAGGGTTTATCTTCTCCTAACATCCATTTACTTTATTGGCATCATAATCCTTAGCCATTTTTATCTTCCCACAGTGTGCTGAGCTCATGGTTTTGTTCTTAGAGAGGCAGCTAGCAATAGTTCATTCAACTAAGGCACTTTTTCTATTGACGGGAAAGGCTGTGTTTATTGAAAGTGAATCCTGAAAAAGAGGCAGCTTTTCAATGGACAAGATTCTGCTTCAACAATATGAAATAGAGGATGACATTGTAGCAGTAGAATTCAAGCCACCAGCAAATCCTTTCCATGGCACATGATTAACTATCTAGCTTTCATTCTATGGCTAGGCTTAGTTTTGCCTAGATGACACATACTCCTCGAGGGCAAGAAGTTACAAAATATGTTACATTTGTGAAAAGTAGGGAAAATTTGAACCACTAGCTAACAATTGAAGCTGATACATTTGATAAATACACGTGTCATCCAGCATGGGTAAGATACAGCGCTGCGAGACTGGTAAGAAAAGGAGAATCTAGCTTAGGAATGATAGGTGAGATTTGTTTTTAATCACTGAAAAAGAACAACAACTTTTCTTATTGTGTTTTTGTTAACTATCCCAGGCACCGATTCA